AATATAATGAGTAGTTTTCAAAAACTCAAAAACAGTATCAAACCGATGCAGTACAGTGTCCAGTGTGTGTATTGCCAGAATATTGCTCAATATCAAACAACCCCAGCTCCCCATACACACAAGAGCTGGTGCGTTCAATTGTGATGCAAGCAGACACATGCATAAATATACACACACACACACGCAATCTCAGGCAGACAATGACACGGGGAGGCTGTGAGACAAGGACAGATCCGGTAGTTAAAGCGTAATGAACACGTCCCCGAGGCGCGCGCCTGGCATTCCCCTGAATGATGGACTGACAGTAATACCGGGGCAGATGGGTGCCCTCCACGCCCCGTTCAACACCACACACACATGTACACACCCTCCCCCTGTTCTATCCTGTCCCTCTCTCCTGCAGAGAGATACCCCCTGTAGGTCTGATGTGGAGGTTGGGGGTAGGGGTGGGGGGTACCAGAGGTGCTGTGTGTATGTGTGTGTATGTGCACCTAGAGGTGGGGGGCACAAGTATGAGGCCCCCGTCATGATTTAGGCTCCCATGCAAATTTAATCAATTCGAGTACCTCTCGCCAGCCAGGGCTCATTAGCGGCAATTTAAAAAGGGGGCTCTGTGATCCCCACCTCATCGCATGAGCCAGACATTCAACTCTGGCACACATGCACACATGCACACACACAAACATGCTAAGATACACACACACATCCAAATACTCACACGCAAATACACACAAAAAAGCACACACGTCAGGGGCACTGTCAAGGCTGTAAAGATTTTCCTTCAGACGTCTTCCCCCTGGCATGGAGAGAGACCCTGCCTGCACGCACACCAACCCCCCTCTCCCCCTCCTCCCCCTTTTCTGTCCCTCCTCTCTATCCACTACTTCAAAAGCCCCATGACACCCAGCTTCAAGTTAAAGGAGAGAGGGATCCGAAGATAAAGACTACCTCTCATCCCCCCACCCCTCGCATTCTAAGACACCCTCCCAACACTCAATCCCCAGGCTACCGCTCTCTTCTCCCCACCTCTTGCTCTCCAGCTCTCCGTAATTGGGGGATCGATTAGTATTGTCCTTAACCATCCTTAACCTCGGCTCTGTATGCTGGCTTTGGAGCAGGGCAGAGCTGTGCTGGTGAATAAGGTGGGTGGAGGTGCAGCACTTGTGGTTTGCAAAGATCAAGTGCCAGGTTAAAACCATGAGGGGAGGTGAGAGTTGTTTGTGTATTCTGTATCATTTAATAGCAAAGAAAATGTGACCAAAAAAAGCATCTGCTATTGTTTAAAGACTAAGGGTTGGTTCACCAGAAATACAATACAACATTTGGTAGTTTTGTTTTTATTTGCCAATATGGTATTGGTATATGTTTCTGCCTCCCCAATCCCCAAACAAATGAAGTGAGCACTGAAATATTACATTTTAAAAATTTAACAGCTACATCCCTTTCCAGAAATAGTGTCTCTTTCACTCTGGAAAATGCACTGTTAACAGTGTTCATGGAAACATTTCGTCAGTAGAAACTAGTTCCAATAAAAAGGTCATAATGAGGTCTGTAACTTAAATAGAGTAACTTGCACATTCTCGCTGGAAAGGGGAGTTAATTTTTTACATAGGAAATGTTTACTTCTACTGTACTGGGAGGGCAGCTGAAATCTCAAAACCTGGGCAAATGAACCTGAATGTATTTGAAGGTCAATAACACGTGATAACTGTAGTGTTTTTGGTAATTTGGGTGTACTGACCCTTTAAATAAAATTGTTCTGCCAGTAGTTTTTTTCCATAATTTGTTTAATAACTATACTTGTAGAACAAAGATGCATTATATTGTACCCCTTCTTAACCAGGCTACACTTTTACTCTCAAACAGTTACTCTATATCGGGGTCAATGTCATACCCTGCAGCTGTGTGACTTCCACATAGCACTTCTAACCCCCCCTCAATTCCAAAAATGACTCTTCGTTTGCAAACCTCCAGGGTCATTAACTTTAGAGATGCCGTTGAGGGGGGACAGGATGGCCTGTGCAAGTCGTCAAATGAATTACGAGGCTTTTGACAATAGAGAAATGCCTGTCTATATCTTTAAAATCAGAAGGTCGCCCACTGCCCACCCCTGAGCCCTGCCACTGCACCCCGGCGTAAGAGTCCAGTTGCTGTGGGGAATGAAAGGCGAGCTTGAGGAGGAACAGTGGCTTGTCTGTGCTTGGGTCGCACAGTCAGATAGGGGTCCCGGAACTGCGCACATAGTGTTTTGACCCCTGGGCTCTCCCCAATGACCTCCACCCCCTCCGCTTATGGACGCTAGGCCCGAGGGTCCCAATACACGCACACTCTCTCAACAGTGTGACGCAGTAGCAGAGGGCAAGGAGAGTGGGAGGAAGGCGTGAGGAAGCAGGGAAGGAGAGTTGGCTGAGGATGTCAATCACTCTTTTACTGGGTACAACAAAATTCTGACATGAATGGTGAACACTGAAATGCCACTGAAGGACCTTTGCCAGGTCTTGTGCGTGCTTGTGTGGAAGCTGTACAGTGAAATCCACACATTCATGCATAAACTGTACATTTGTATACACATGGTCCTATACATGCTTATATATTTAAAAACATCCTCATCAACAGTTCTACTGCAATTAGGAAACTGCCATTAGCTCTTAAAGGAGTTTTAAATGAGAGCAACCAGTCCAAGTGGACACCAACCATCACTCTTTCCTTGTTTTGGCCCATCCTGAGGTGTTGGCTCACCTTTGCTCTGGTCAGCAGTGTTTGGGCCAAGGCCTCTGGTTCCTCTCCTCCAGCCCCTCCACCTCTCACTGCGCCTGGTGACATTTCTGCCTGGCTCCCTCACTCCCCTCTTCCCCTCCGGTGGCTCCCAGGAGAGGCTGATGGATGGGCCCTGTTTATGAAGCTGCTGCCACCACAGTGATCAATCAAACCTGGGTCACTGTGATCCGCTGCTGCTGGGCGCCAGGCCTTCAGTCTATTTCACACTATCGGCTGGAGGAACCGCACATACAGTTTGTTAGTACTCACTACATGCACATACATGGCCACATAGAGGTTGATGGAGAAAGACAGCCCTATAAAGAACTAGAAAAGGATACAGGAAAATGTGAGCGTGCTTGCTTCGCCTGAAATATGGTGCTTCGGTACATTTCAGAGAGCCTAGAAGTCTTGACTTCAGTTGTCATGACAGGGACTTGGCGAGGACTGATGGCAGGAGGATCACTGAAGATCTGGTCTTATTGGCAGTCAAACCATGGATCTTTTTAAAAAGAGGCATCTGAGCTAATCCCTGCTCCACCATGGAACCCATGCAAACTGATCGGCACATACACACACTTTCCTGAGAAGTCTAATTAGCCGCAGACCATAAACCTGTGAGGAACACATGGAAAGTGACATATCCTCATTGGCCTTTATCATGGAAGACATTTTGACATGTCACAGTAGGGAACGCACCGATGTTAATTAATAAAATGAATGAAGGCTGAATTCCATTTAACTGCTTCAGGTTCTGGGTCCTGGTATTGGGCATGCTGGGACACCTGAATAGTACAGAGCCAACGGCGATGTGATTAGTAACATCTTTGCTTTTCCTTCTGTGACAAGTCAAAACATTTGCTATAGAAAAAGGCAGATCATTATTTTGTGAAGTAGGGGTACTGATGGGATACCTGATGATCTCTGACAATCTGGGGCAGCATCGCATCAAGATGACTCACAAAATTAGAATATACAGTTGAAACGGATGTAGTTATAACAATAGTTAAATTTGCCTCTCAAGGGAGCCTTTTAACTGAGGTGTTATTGCATAAGCACAGCTGCAGCTAATAAAATTAATATTGGGTAATTTTGATTAAAGTGAGCTAATGAGCAAGCATTGACAATACTATTATTATCAATGCTTGCAAACTGACACCTAAATCATACTTCATTTTATTAGCTGCAGCTGTGTCTGCCCTGCTGTGACATGTGAAAAGGGTCTGCTGGGGATGTATCCTGCATCCTAAGTCAAAGGCAACATAGGTGTGTCCTTCAGAGGCTCTGAAGACTTTAAGATGGACGTGTGCCTCCCCTACACAAGACGGTCCGGCCTCAGACACCAAAACTAACTATGTGTACCCAGGTTACTGATATCCTTGTAACTTAAAATTTCCTCTAACATCCTATCACTAACAATATACTGTATCATGGCTGCTAACAAACGGTGGAGTTTATGCCTGACTTAAATTATTTACACCTTGGAGTGGCCATTTCATGTCTTTTATCAATGACTGATGGCCACATGAATGCAAATATGTGATAAATATTGCGCGGACATGTGATATTTCCTGACTTAATGAGTCGACGAGGATAAACTGAATGCAGCTGACTCGCTTGAAATGAGCTGTGGGATACCGAGGGGATGCCATAGTTGTGTCCTTCAAATTATGGCAGAAAAAGAATGCATTTCTTAACCACTTCTTGGAGAAGCCTTTGAAATGGAACATCGCGGTTTATTATGACAGGTTTGAAATGCGAATGAAGGGTTGTGTCCTCAGTTCACAACCTACTACAGAGCACACAAAGACGGATCACATCGGTGACATCTTACAGAAAACATCACAACCACATTTAAAATCTGAAGTCTAAATGTTGGGTCATACTAGTGACATTCAGCTTAGTCTACTCTATGCATGTTCTAATGTCTTCAGCCACCAAGATTTGTTTTCCCTCTAACAGGGTGATAAAGAACACTAATGCCACCTACTGGAACAACAACAGAATACAATATACTGCCACAATTTTGATGCCGACCGGAGCACATACAACATCCTCAAATTCAGTGTGAGGCCACTTTCCCTTATTTTACTGTTGTTTGAGTCTATTATTTTTAAAGTTTCTCCATTGGCAAAAAAAAAAAAAAAAAAAAAAAAAAACATAACAAAATTAAAATTGATTTAACTACTTTACCAAAAGCGGTCAACCACAATTCATATGGAAGTCAAAAAACCACAAAAATGTTATGTTCTTTTGATATTTATTTGAAAGAAACTAAAAGTCTTTGATGAAATATGTACAAAACTGCGTGGTAGCAACAATATTTGAGAAAAAGAAAATGATCTCATGTCTGGCAAAGTTGTTGATTTCTTCTCAGCATGATGATGATTACTTCCCTCTCAGCGTTTCCTCTTCGCCTCAAACTTGTAGATAGCTGCAGCATTGGGGGTTTCTTTTTTTACCTTCACTTTCTTGTTCTTATCCTGATGCACAGAGTAAAAAAAAAAAAAAAGATCTTAATGTTGATTTGACAGTTCATACTGAAATGCAAATGAAACTGACACCAAAAGGCTTATTGTGATTAAAGACATGGCATTTCTCACCTGTAGGTCCTTGCGGGTCTGAATCTTCTGGGTGATTACAAACATTTTCTTTTCTCTGTCAATCCTCTGGGAAAGGATTTTATACTGGTGGTTCCTCTGCTTGGCCAACTTCTACAGTTTGAGTGAGGAAAAAGCAGCTTAAGTCACCACAATATGAATATATATAAAACTATGACACTTTTTTTCAATACACATATGTCATATAGTTGACAGAGGCTCTGGAGGGACACACAAGAAATTAGCTTACACATGCATTAAAATACAGACCTTCATACTGTGAGGCTCTACAGCTCCCTGTATGCTCTTCGTCTCCAGAGTTTTCAGAGTTGGTCTGTTGTACACTCTGTCCACCAGCTCAGGAGCTGTGTTGAGGTGGTCTGCCAGGTCAAATGAGTGCACTGAGGAGACACAGTAAAACTTTCATTAAAACTTTTCAGCTTCTCAGATAACCTAATAACCAGCCCACAAGGACAATGATATCTTATCTGATGTGCATTTAAATGTACCTTCTTTTTTAGAGTCCACAAAAAATGTATGCTTGTTTTTTTGTTTGCTGTCTGCATCCAGAAGATGAAGCTCTCCTTTCAGCCTCTCAATTTTCTAAAAGCAAAGGGATAAATACACAAAGATGACAGCAGGCAACAACAGAAGCCAAGGTATTGGCTGGAAAACATCTGTAATTTCAGTTTCCCTCAACACAGACTATATGCAACAGTTCCAGTAGAAGCTCTGTAAACAATAACCCTAATGGAAAACTAGTACTGATTTTTGGCAAATACCTCTGCTTTCCTCTAGGGGAACAACTTCTGCTATATAATTATGAATTATCTGCACATAATGTGAAAGAGATGTCACAAAACTGATATTTTGCCCTTTCTACGCTTTAGCCACGTTGTATTGTTAATGTTTAAAAAAGCCAAGAGCAATTTGAGAAGTTAGTAACCACATCCATGCCATTTGAATAAGAATGAGTTCTTATCAATTCAAGTTCTGTCCTTTAATTCCAAAGTTTAAAAAATTGTCTTAAGTCAGTCACAAGAGGTTCCCAATAAATGTTTTACACTTAAATATAAACTTACCTTAGCCTCTGCAACTCTTTTCATCTCTACATATTTAATATCCTGCGTCCTCATCATTTTCTTCTGCTCCTCTGTCACCTCCACCTCTTCCTTGGGTTTTTTGGCGACGTGAACTCCATCCTGTCAACATGCCACAAAATTAGCCACTCACATTAAATGCTATGAATTTAGATCAACTGTATTTTCTTTGTTCAGTAGATTATTGGATCAAGATGCTCTTATTGTTGCTCTGATGATAAAGCTAATCTCACCTGCAGCTGAGAGCTGATCATGTTAAAGTAAAACTCATCTGGGTTCTTCTCCAGAGCTTTCTTTCGCAGAGCAGAAAGAGTGTTTTGTTTCTTGTGGTAGTCACTATAAAACAACACAGAAATGGCAATGTGAGCTCATTACAAGACTTATTCCTCAAGCATGTTTAACATTAAAAAAAAAAAAGAGATCATTTTGTATCCAAAGCTTGGAAACCCCCAAAACATGTCTTTAACTCACTCTGCACGAAGTTTGTAGTCTTTCTTCTTCTCCAGCAATCCCAGATGTTTCCTGAAACCAGGCTGAGAGAGCAAAATCAAACAGTTAAGACAAGATATACTCAATCAACATTAGCATTTATTACGGCGTGTGTTAACAGGAACATTACATCACATTTATTAGCTTGACGATCATTATAGACTTCTCAAAAGTGACACAGTACAGGAGCATGCTAACAAGCTAGCCAGCAAAACACTGAAATCCTCACCTGAGATCTTTCATGATGGTTCCTCTGCCGGGATTTCAACGCTTTCCTGAACGAAGACATTCTGGAAAATGTCCTCGAGTGTAATAAAGTAAAGTAGTTGAGTCAAATCAGGTATATTTAGGGCTTTTTTTTCCACCCATAAGCTATAGAGACACTGAAACCTGAGTGCTGCTCCAGCTCTAGTGCTTCCCTGCTGGCTGAACACGTGGGTTCCTGCCTCGTTCAGAGCCGGTTGTTTGTTCACTTCCCCGTCCGCAGATTCGCAACTCAACTCATACTTAAAATATCACAATATACTTACATTTAAAAAACAATTTGAGTAGCATTTGTTATTTTAGAGAAAACAGAAAGAAATTACTTATTTTCTCGATATAATAAAGTGCATTTGAATTTAACGCTAAGGGTTGCAGAAGCGAGTAACTAACAGTAGGTGGTGCTGTTGCACATATTTTAAAACTGTTATCCAACCTTTCATATTGCTGCTGTACGAGCCTTTGGTTGTGGAATCATAGTATCCACTTGTGGACAGTAACTGAGTACATTTAGGTTTTGTACTTAGGACTTACATACGGTATTAAAGTATTTCTACTTTTCTTAAGTGTTCCCATTTGATGCTACTTTATACTCACACTACTACACATTTTTTACTCCACTCCAGTCAATGAATTTAACTACTAAAATGAGTCCCGTCTTCACCAGCTCAACATAAAAATGTATCTTACATGTCGGTTATATTAATCCATTACTGTCTTGTATATAATTGCATAATATTCACAGGGACTGTTCAGCTGCTTACTGATGCCTTAAGTTAATACTAATACTTCTATACTTCTACTTTTTCAATGCAGGACCTTTTCGTGTACCTTCACTTGAAGTATTTTCTTATTGTTTTATGCTACTATTACTTAAGTTAAGGATCTGAAAATGTCCTCCACCCTGCAGTTATGTGAATTAATAATTTAGAAACGATTAAATGGATGGAAATACAATCAGAATCAGAATCAGAATCAGAAATACTTTCAAAATCCCAGGGGGAAATTACTTAACAATAACATTTGAACAACTTAATCACCCAATTTCCTTAATAATGTTTCTTATTTAATGAGCTGATGTCATTTAAGTTCAGAGTGGGGTAATAATTTATTTGGCTTTAAATAATCAAGTCCACAAACATTGCGTTATAGGGCTTACTGGCAAAGGGAAATGGGTTTAATCATATTTATCCAAGTAGAAGACCAATGTAATTGGTATCTGCCATTTTCAAGTTGTATACAAGCCGGGCTTGGCACAGTAACCACTTAAAACAAGTGAGGGTTATCACAATGCTGCTGACTTAATATATTTTGCCTTCACTGTTCATACACAAAATGATTTTGGTCATTATAATGAGGGCTTGCATTTGCCAGAGCGCACAGTTAACACTAATTGGTAACAAGTTTATGTTTTTCCAACATGGACATTTATTGCATGTTTCCAGACCCCTGTTCTGATTTATGTCCAGACCAATAGACCTAAAAGAGATTACACAGAAAGTCTCTAGTTTATTTCCTGTTTGAGTGTGTGTGTGTGTGTGTGTGTGTGTGTGTGTGTGTGAATGTTATTACTATCATCTCATTTGAACTCAAATATTTTGTTGTATGGATCCTACAGGTAGAACTAACAGACTGTGAATTTAGCCGTCATGCAAAGACAATAGATATAAATATATGAAGGGCGCCTGTACAGTTTTTTTCTCTCCATTTTGAGAGGAAAAGAGTGCTGCAGGAACTTGGAAGACACAGGGGTCACCCCTCTACTCTGGGGGAAAAGACTATCCACTTCCTGACATGATATTTCGGGTAGAGGGTAGACAAAGACAAAGCCGCAACGGCACCAGTTCCCTAATCTCACCCAGACTCCCAACTCTCTGTGGATGTGAGAAGAAGCCAGTAGGACAGAGAGTGATATTCCACTAAACAGCCATTTTCCCCCCATGGCTACTTACTATCCCCCCACCAACCGCAAGGAATTTGTTTTATATGTGTGAGATTTGCACGGCATGCAGAATGTTTTGTGGGTGATTAGACCTATGAATGGGATCAGTGTTTCCACATTATGTCACAGACTTGTTTATCAGTCTGATGGCTAATGACTCCGGTTCCGTGAAAGGTTTCAGCCCACGGCTCGACTGATCCACTCACCCTTTAACGTGTATAACTAGACAGACACAGAAGGCAACCAGGATTTACGGGTTAAATGTCTGCGTTCTGACTTACTTGGCTCCTTGCTGTTTAATTCATGGGAGTATTTATCATTACAAGTGAAATGCCTGGTGAGCCACGACAGGGGTAAATACTACTTTGGAAATCAGGGGCTTGTAACAAGCTGATGCAAGAGCAGGAGGACAAGAGGTTGTGGGTTTGCTCAGGGTCAGCAATGGAGGAATGCCCTTGTGGGGCAGATGCAGATCCGTTTGGTTTTCTAATATGGCCCTGTAAAAATAACACTGCTGACATATTGTAAGACTGCTGCACTTGGGCTGAGCTCAGGGCTTTGGTATGTCTCCCCTGACCATGGTTGGTCCTCATCTGCAGCGAGCAGCCAGGCCAGCCCAGTTGAAAAATGCATGAGCCAGAAGTTCCTCCTGTGTGATTATTTAGTTGCATCTCCTAAAATTCACACAAGGCATTATCAGACAGATTCTAATAAGATTCAATTCAATAATTAAATAAGGTATTATTAGCAGTAGTGGAAATGACTAATTACTAGTTACTTAATGACTCTACTTAAGTACAGTTACTTCACTCATTCCCATTTTCTTTATACTACTGCACACAGCGACATTTACTCATCACATTTCAGATTACGAATTTACATAAAGAGACATATGGTAAACTGATTAAGCACAATGCATTTTCAAAGATTACACCAGGGATTCCAAACTTTTTTGCCTTCTAACCCTACCAGCTGTGTCTACTATCTACTCAGATGATTGAATTAAAATAACTGATAACAGGTAAAAGTGTGTATTTCACAAAAAGCTAAGATTACAGAAAAGATTAATTACAGTACAGTATAAAGTCGTTAAAAGTAGATCCACCAAAGTATTTTCACACTGTAGTATTGCTACTTTTGATCAAGGAAAGGATCTGAATACTTCAACCACAGGTTATCTGACTTCTCGAATGCCCCAGCCATACAGTAGGTGCACTCCTGGGTGGGATTCTCACCACAGTCCCTTAACCACAAACTTCTGTAAAACAGAAATTGTCTACAATTAAGTGCCAATACGGTGCTTATTTTCCCTGCTTGAGTTTTGAAGTGTATATTGTAGCCTGACCTGTTTTATACTCTAGACAATCACAGCGGTGAAGTGGTGAGAAGTGGATGGGTTGAGGCAAAGTATGCTTCAAGTGCTCTGTAAAAAAAACTATTATCACCAACATCATCAAAAGGGTCTTTCAGTTGATGGTTTGTCTGGAGATTATGACTCCACACGTCCCCCTGTATCATCTTCTTACTAAAGCTACAAAAACATTGTAAATGTATTTTCTATATTGATACTCCCTTTGTTTTGTGCATTACACCATTTCATGAAATAATGTTTTTATCACATAATAGCAGCATGCCACAATTTCCACTCACCATCATGTGGTGAGAACAGACACATTCTGTTACAAGTAATACCTACTTATAACTTAAGTGGTACAATGTAATTGCCTCATTAGTCTGCTGCTCAAGGCCATGATGCCCATTACAGTTAATTTCACTCAGGTGTTCCGAAACATTCAAGAAAAAGTTGAAGGTTTACAGTGTAGCACTAATTTTAATTTCATTTAGCAGAGCATGACAGTCACCTGAGACGTCATCGTCACTGTTCACACGATGCTTCAAAAGATAAAGTATGTTTTAAATTGTATTATATTCTTTGCCTAGGGTAGAAAACATCTTAAATAAAGTTAAATTTGATCAGTTTTTCCATTTAAAGGGCCATTTTGACACTTTATCTGGAAAAGAATGTATGTTCTCTTCAGTATAAATGTTCATGCTTTGAGCTGATTACTCAGTTAATCCCTTGTTAACCTTTTAACTTGTTTTTCAAAACTAAAACAGAGAGATGTTTGATGTAGTAGGTAAGAAGAGCTCTTAACCTTTTTACGATGAAGAAAACAGTAAGGGAGTCATCAGGCCATTTCTGCCTTGATGAATTGACAGGCACCTATCCTCTAATTTGTTGCACGCAGTCTAACAGGACCACGCCTCAGAGTGTAAAATTAGAATTTATAATTAAGGGGTTGTGGGGAATACAGGGGTCACACCAGTACTCGTTCACTTGTCACAGGACCATGAAAGATAAGAGTCACATGTTCAGGCAGTTATGTAAAAAAGTCCATGTTCAATGAGATATTTCATGTGTAACATTTTGCAGCTGCACTTATTTTTCTAAAATCAGACCTTTACATAATAGTGTTTTAATGCTTTTAATTCTGCTTTAGTTGAAAGCAAAGATTGGCCAGGTGTATGAAGGTAAGAAGCTCTCTTTTTCAATATTCACACAGCTATTTCTGACACTTGCTGTGTATACACGAGTGCAACATTATGAATTACATCCAGGAGGGAAAAAAATGCGTTTTGTCCCTCTCTGTGATGGCACACTTTTCCTCTGGCCTTCCTTTGTGGTCTTCTTGAATACCTATTTTGCCCGGCTGGATAACACATCGTAGGAGCTAGTTGATTTTGAGCATAAAACCGCCTTAAGTGTATGTAGGACAATAGTTGAATTGGCCTTGTAGATATTTTTTTACTCCTCAATGAACACAATTATTTGTGAAACACTAAATTCTTGTCATTTCTAAGTAAGGAACAACTGAAAATATTACGTCTGGATGACTACAGTCTTGGTATCAGTCTACAAAGTGTCATATGGGTCAAACTAATGTTGTTCTGTTTGAGTAACAGCAGATAACGCCAACCACGGCGAGTACATGGTGAGTAAGCGGGATACTGGCAACCACTTTGACTCCTTAGAGTCCTGGGAAAACAGTAGAACAATGCTGTCTAACCTATGGGGTGATGTTTCTGCCAACAATATTGTGTTTTAATAGGGTGGGCACAGACTGATACCATTATGACTCAAATGAAAAATAATTTCATGTATGACAAAACGGCAGCCAGCTGCATCCAGGATAAACGTCACTCCAACTGGTTGAGTCATGACAAAACAGAAACATGAGGACTGGAGAAAGGATCCACACTGTAAAATATAGGGAAGTGAAACAGCTGGGTTGCTCTTTACCCTGTTTGGTAATGCTAGAGTTTAGGAAGGATGGTCAACAAAGGCCATTTAAGAGCACAGTGAATACAGAGAGATATGGAAGATCGAACACTAATATGAGTTGTTTTATATGGAGGCTGTTTGCTGCCATTCAATTTCACCAATTTAATGCTCAAATTTTTACATGTATTAAATGTTTCTCTCAGAATACTATCTTGTCTGAAACAACATTTAGTCTAAAGGACAAGAGGATATCAAGTAACAACACCAAGGACAAAAAAGGAACCTATACAAAATATGTAGCACTGACCCTGACCTTAACTTGGGCTTATCCTTCAACTTAACACCTACACAACATATTTCTAAGTCTGAAGCCAATCCTGGAGGTTCCTCTTTTCTTACTTCAGTGGTCATTTGATAGTAAAAGATTCAGACTTTCCAAGCAAAGTGTGGCCAAAACCCATGTAATCCACCATCAGTAACTCCAGGATGTATTAATTGTTAAAAAAAATAATTGCACCATTTTCACAGTTTTATAGCTGTGGGTCAGGAGGGAGTACGCTCCACTACCATGAAAGTTTGGTCAACACCCAGCTTTGAGCAAAAGACCAGTATCAGAGTGCTTTTTGGAATTACATAAAAACATCACATTTTATTTTGAAATCTAGTTTGTTTGCAGATCGATTTCAGGTGTTGATATCACTAAAAATATGTTCATTGTCTATCTTAATTTATTCATTTGTTGACTGGCTGATTGAAAGAAGCTCAAAAGTACCTAGGGGTCCACACTCTATTTCGGGAACTTAATTAAAAGCAGACTTTGCCTATCCACCAATACTCACCAATAAAACATAATTCTATTATAACAGGCTGAAAATAAGCGGCACCAGAGACGGAGGGGCCTGTTGGGAGCCCCCCAACGTACCCTCCACTGCCTGCACTTCTCTCTGGTCTCGTTTGAAGTCGCTGGAAAAGAGGGAGGGAGGAATGGTGTTTTTTGGGGGGCGGGATCTTGTGACTCACAGGCAACTTCCTCAGTAGTAGGACAAATGTAGCCGGCAAACTGCATTAGTCTCCGCCGCAGAGGTTTTGACTACTGTCAGAAGAAAGACAAAAAGTTTTACTGCGGGAGGGCGACGCTCCTGAGCCGCCGGAGTAGCGACCTGCAAACTGATCCCAGTCCTGATCTGAGCGAGTGTCTGCTGACAGAGAGAGGGAGGCGGGTTACCAGTGGTGTTGCAGAAGGTGCCTCCAGACTTCAGACATTACTCCTGGTAGGACTTTTTTTTTATATATATATACCTATCTAGACTTTTTCTTTCTTTAACGTTTTCAGTGTGTCTTCGAACGCAGTAGGGCTTCACAGAACAATGAGCACACCTTTCACTCTTTTGACGTTTAATATTAGGTAATGATTTAGAAAAGATGAGGGAGAAATAAAGTAGTGTATCTCAGATGTCATTTAAAGTTTTTCAAATGAATGACACTTAAGTCTGTTAACCTCAAACGTTGTGATAAGTGTTGCTATTTAAATCTATAATTAATGGAAACAGTGTTTGGGGCAAAAGTTGTTGCCTTATTATTATTATTATCATCATTATTATTATAATCATCATCATCATTAGTAGTAGTAGCAGTAGTACTATCAGTAGTAGTAGTAGTAGTGCGGTTAGTATCTTTTACAGTAATTATGATCTATGAATGTATAATTTAACACAAGATCATGTTTACTCTATACTTTTGATTTTAAGCGTTTTGGCTGTTTAAATATGTGAGTGTAAAGATGAAAGCAGGCGTGGGCTTGACATCATGACATGCCTTAATACTTCACACCTTAGTCAAACATGCTGCCTGGGGTGAAGCCTGCAAAGTAAAACCCTTACAAAAGAGGAACCACTTCCTGTGACAAGTGAGGGGGTCTGGACATTTTCTGTCTGCCCATGTGTTTTTCTGCTTTTCCTGTTTATGCCTCTTTCTTTTTGTCTAATCACAGTTTGACACCTGCACTTATGTCCCCCTGTCCCATCTACACACACACATGCACATGTAGGGCAAATAGACAACATTTCATCAGTGGAGGAATGGACTGTATTGGACTATGTGACCCATTGAACTGTGTGGAGGAAGGATTAAGGAACAACTGTTGTCACAGAAGCTGAGCGGTGTGTGAAGGCCTCAGAGAGCAAAGTCCCTCAGGGCTAAACTTGTCTTTTCTCCGGCAGCAGGAAGTGGGATATGGCAGCGTGTGTCGAGGAAGGGTGTGTCTGTTCTGCAGCTTCTAGGTTTGTTTTGGGCGTGCTTTCTCACATCACAGTGCATAGTAGTAGGGTCATCCTTATGACGATTGTTTAGTTTTTCACCTGTTGCATCATTTGGGTGCAGCGGGTGCATGTGGGAAAGTAATGTGCTTGCCAAAAGGAAAAATTTGATCAAGATCTTACATGTTTTCTTTGGAAAATATCACCTCTCGTCTGCCACTAAAAGATATGTCATGTTTGGTCTTGGTTCCAGTTGGAAGAACCTTTCATGTCATGGCTTGGCATTCAGACACACAAGACACACACGATTTTATTATGCGTCAGAGTTCATTTTAAGCACAATGCCCACTATCCCGACAAGGTCTGAGATACTGAGGGAAAAAAACAAAAAAAAAAGTAATTTCAGTCAGTCAGGTATGGCTTTTAGTAGTCACCTTATGCAGCCAGGTTTGAATTAGAAAGGAGGTATGAATTGAAAAATTCTGATATAAAAATCCTTCTAATTCTTTAAACCGGCAATAGCTGTTCTTTTGGCCACTTAGAGAAATATACTGTGTACCTAATACTGTCATAACCTTTTGAGTTTAAATTGAAAATTTAAAATTGATTCGGTTATATCTGGCCTTTTAGCTTTTAAATGTTCCACTATGTTCACCAGCCAGTTGTTAATTTTGTCTCTCCCGTTTTTAGTTCTTGACAAGAAGTGGGCTGTGGCTGTGGAGCATTTTTTTGTTGAAAACAACTGCATAATGCTGCAGGAAAAAAGGTTGACGAGAGTGGTGAGAAACAAAACAGCCAAAAGTGTGATAGTGAAGCTTTAATTGATCTTTACCATACAGAGTTTCAGGCAGGTGTGATTTAGAATGAAAGGTTAAAAAGGGCAACGGCTGGATTCAAACCCAGACCGCTGCAGTAAGGACTCAGCCTTTGTTCATGGGGGCACCAGCTCTGCCAGGTAAGCTACCAGGGTGCCCCAATACAACATTTCTGATATAAAACCACTCAGTTCCTTAAACTGTATGTCATAGCCATTGCAAAAAATAGGTTTTGAATAATTGAATAATGAATAAGTTGAACGCTTCCAATTCACACATCCAATGATGAGAATTTGCTCCCAAACCTCAATTTTCTGTCTGTTACTACAGAAATTACACCTTGGAGGAATTTGGTTTCTTAGGCATCACGCTGTACTTTCACCACTGACAGGTTATTTTTACACAAACTGTTTGTCACAGTAACAAGCTGAAATAATCCCCTAGCAGCCAAAAGCCAGTCATTCTGTCCCATTTAGCATCTGGGAAGTTTGCCTTGACAGAGCCCATGGGCTGTATAATGTATTTGTTTGCTTTCTTCCTCATCCTCCCTTCCTCTCTGTTTCAGTGACCATGGTCACATTCTTCAGAGGTCTCAGTGTGTTTTCCAAAGGTTAGCCCCGCGTGGTGGTTGGACCCTGGCCAGCTCTAAACTGCAACTAAATGACTCGGACTGGTTGTGGCTGGTTTTATGGGTTGGCATCGTTTGAAACCAGGCCAACGATAATGATGGAGAATCAGTGGTCAAGTGGTTGCAGGTGGTTAGGGAGCAGAATTTAGATTTGTGTTGAAGCCGTTCTCTTTTCACGTTCTGCAGCTGTCTGTTCCTCCATGATGAGGACATGGGACACAGTTTGTATTGTTTCCCTTTTTTGTCACATTCTGTGCAAACCTACATTCAGTCAGGATGTTTCCATTCTTAGTTTCCAAACTGCTGGTCATATCTGATATGTTTCAAACATGTTTGTAAAATTCTAAAAGATATGAGGTCTCTCTCTAATCATCACCTGCTTGTTCTCTTACTTTTTTCTTTCTTGTGTCTTGGTGTCCTAATTTTTGCGAAAATTTTGACATTCCTGAACATTCCAGCACAGCTATTAGGGTGCATACCTTGTTTTCATCCTCTTATTCATGTGGTTCCAACCAGAATTAAACAATGCAACCCAATCCAGCTTTTAGCTGTTCAAAATGATTAAAAAAACATCACATCTGCGTTACATGTGAGACCAAAAAAGGGAAACTCTGCTTTGGTGTTAACAATAGCTGTCTGGCACACAACTCTCACGTATCAGTGAAACCCTGGAAAATCATAAGGCCGTGGCTGTATATTTTGTCATAATTCAGATGTTCTTTTTAGTTTGTTGTATGTGCCTCTTCAATAGGCTGTGGGGGCGCGTGGCTGGCAGCAGGAGTGCGTCTGAATTCCCTGCAACGGGGGAAGTGACCTCAGGTTTCCTGTGTGGGGATGGCCAGGTGCTGTGGTGTTATTGTGAGGGGCGCAAGACTTCCTCCATGGATGCTTTGTTGGTAAACGTCTGAAATGTGATCCTTTGAGCCTGGGCCCCTGTGGGAGGTAATGTGCCCCCCTCACAATTCAGTCATCCTGCCTCGCTCTCTTTCCGTCTCTTCTTTCTCACTCTCCGTACACTCTTTGCCTCTGTGTTCACTCCATGTAAGATTTTATGTAAAGAGAACATAAACTTTATATAGGCAGCTAAGGACTGTAAAAGGTAACTGACTCTGTGCTAATGGGGTAATTACATTCTTCTAGGAATACAATTACAGGTCTATACCTAGCACTTACCTGCCACTCTCAAAGGAAGTGCTGTTTTCAAAGGAAATACCAAATTGTAAGCACAGAACTGCAGATGCCTTATAACTCCACACTTACTAGTTTAATACAAACTAAACATGCCTCGCCTCACTACACCTTTCACTTGGTCTACTCCTTATCGCTCTGTTATATTTATTACACACTGAATTAATGTTACCCCCTCTACTTTATCAGTGTTTCCTTTGCATGTCTCACATGAAACAGATGTTGTTCGGGTACAAGAATCCTGTCGATTCACTGCTGCATCATCACATTCTGTAATGTTATGAACTTGGGCTGGGGAAACGTGTGAGTCAGCGGTGACTGTTTCCCTGCACCCTTGCCTAAAGGTAGCAGGGTAGGGTTATGGTCCAACACACGTGTATGGCCTGTACCATTTCACAGGATTTGATGACAGGAATACTATGTTGCAAAACGTGCGGCGGTTTATCAACTCATGTCCATAACCTGCCTTGTTTTATTTTCTTGGGAACAGAATTCCAGATAAACCTGTCTGTATTTTCTTGGAACTCCCTCACCTCAACTGTGGGTTCAAAGAAGTGTGCACATCTATCTACAATTGCTTAATGTTACTGTTTACCCAATATATTCACACCCATTAAATATGTTATCCTGGGAAAACAGTGCATTTCTACACAAGGAATAAATGTAGCAGAAATCCATAAATAAGCACGACAACTGGTTATATTTTGTCAGCAAACTGGCCTCCAAAACCAACGAAGCAAGTCACATCAAGCAACAGGGATAAGGGAAGATTGAGAGGGAAGCACAAATTTAAAATCCGCGGACAAATTGCAGTGGTTTTTATGCAACTGGTAATGCAATATGTAATATGAATTCGTATAACTAATGGTTATGTTGGGCTGTGGCTAATGGCTAAATCATAGGATAACCTATGGTTAATGGAGGCACTTGAGGAGAAGAATGTTGGGTGAGGAGAATTTCTCCAGTACACAAGGTAATAGGATGTTATTTCACCCTGATGGATCTCTGCTAAAAGAAATGACAAAGTACAGTACATGGCTTACACTTCATACTGTAACACCACATCTTCATATCTGGTATGAGAGAGTGATCTCCTTCTGGATAATATTGTTATTGAGGGAATCACTGGTCCACTGACCTACAATTATCATGGCTTCTGTCAGAAGTGGATCACTATTAAATTTCTCTATGCTATACTTATTATACACTCAGTAAAGAATGACCCAATCTTGACACTGACTGACACCCCAACCCACCATGGTATCTTTGAATTGGGACTTGTAATAAAAAAATATTTAAAGTATGAACAAGTCTACAATAATCTCACAGAAACCATCCGCCTACATATAACTGACAGATTGGTTTTATGTCTATGGGAATAGCAATGTCGTCATCCTACCCATTGGATGTTCTCGCACACTGGCTTAATTGGGCAATAATTTGAGACCATGTGGCATGTAGTCTTTAACCACGCAGTGATACACAGCAGGCCTCAAACAAGGCAGCAATGCCTGAGGCTCAAAATGTCACCTTTCAGAACACTGTAAACCCAGAGAGAGTGGGCCGTTAATAAAGTATTTCTCTACAACAACATGCTAGCAGGACTCTGTTCTCATAACAGATGTCATAGAGAAGTAATTTGGCCTTGGCACTGTATATGTGCGTTGTTTGTTCCACCATGCCACTACTGTATCCCCCTTCACCCCCTGCTTATGTGGTAGTTGTGTCTTTATATGGCTAGTAACTTCAGTTTGCCATAATGCCAACTGCATTAGTGTTGATTGCTTCCCAAACACTTAATAGGTTTGGCTCCCACATCTGCAAAGAATGAAAGAATGAGCCCAGACTGTGACATCATGGCACAGGAAGTGTAGTCATGAGAGTGTGGGCGTAAGGCAAGGTGTCTGTGTTCAGTATGTGCACATTTTTATTCAAATGTGTGTGAATGTTCTCTGTGTTGCACAACTGTCTTCCAGGGATGAACCAGAAGGATCTGACTTGTTGGGACTGCATGAAAAGCTGTTACTTGTTCAGATTAGATGTGTATTATCTTGTCACTGATACAAGACTGTTTATTTGGAGTGCAGCTGTGAGCGAGAGCATTCCCCTCGCTGAAAGTAAACAATGTTAAAATGCCTGCTCTGCATGATGAAACTAGCGAGCGATCAAGAATGTGACTCCTTACCCAGAATGTCTTACACCATCCCTCTATGTTCTTTCTCTGTATGTCTTTCACTCACTAGTATTTACATGCGCACACACACACACACACATACACAGATGCACTTTGTCTTACCCTCTCACTTTCGTCTCTGTGGCTCTGTGGAGAGACAATAGTGTCTACAGAGGAGACAGGCTGAGACAAGCCAGACTTGCTACATACACTGAGGTGTGGATTTATGTCAGTCAGAGAGAAGAGTGCATTTGGCACTGCTAGGGCACACTTTGGCACTAATTTGCAAAGCTGTCAAAGTTGCATTGAATAGGAGTAGGAAGCTGGAAGTTTCTTGGCCTCCTTTGCTTCCCTGTGTTCCTTCACCTTCATGGGATACTGACCGGTCCTCATATGGTGCCATAAATGGCAGAAAGTGTCCATGGTGTGGCTATAAAAGGACGCCAGCTCTTCGATGAGAAGATGACAGTGATTTACGACAGAGACAAGTAACAGAGAGCTAAGGAGGGATTTCTTGGCTTCTTCAGTCGAAGTTGAGAAAGAGAATGAAAGGATGAGATGGAGAGAGGAGTGGCCCAAGCACACTATTATTGCCTGTGGGGTTCATCTGTCAACGGGCTGTCACCGAAAAGTGTAATCTCAGACAAATGAAGTCCCTACTGTGTATAGTTTACGCTTTGTGTACCACCTCTCCATTTTGGAAAAGTTTCTATTACTGTGCAGAAACTATTTATCCTTATCACAACAAATGTACACAAGAGAAAGAACATGTTGTGACTCCCCCAAAGCATTCGGCGTCAGGCTCTCATTCACCTTATGTAATTAAAGTTCTTGAAAGTGGTGCAGTGAGATCATTACAGTGAAGTACTGCTTTGTTTGACAGTGTGTTCACAACCAGCAGATCATATTGAGCTCAGGATGTTTGTAGTAATCGGACATAACTCAGTCCAGAGGAAAATCTGAACTTTTACATTCAACACAATCACCAAATGATTTACAGACCCCCAGTACCAGACAATACTGTTGCTGTTGCTTTGCTTTGACAGTTATTTAGCATTATCATCTGATAGACCCTTGAAGATACAAAAGCCTCTGGGGCTGTAGCCAGACCAAGGTTTTTTTCTTTCTTTTTTAACCAAGCTCCAGAAGTCCAGCACTGAGCTTAGCGGTCATCCTTGAGAAAAACCTTTCATTTTAAATTCTATCCTCTGCGATTCTCCGATATATTTCTACTATGTATATGCATCTAAGTTATATGAAGCAAAAGATAATTGTATGATATCATTATTATATTTCCCTAAAATTGCAAATAGAAACCTGCATTCCACAGAATTCACTAAGGCTGTAAGTGAGCACAAATTCAGAAACCAATAAAGAACTTAAACATTTTTAAATTTATTTATAGATATAGAATTTAGCTACATAGCTAATAAATGCAGTCCTGTGATGCTACCATTCTCTGGTTCAGCTGTAACCACAGCTCACAGAGATTACAAAAACATATACGTATAATCATAAATATACTTTATTACATACAAAAAAACCCTACAAACTATAGCCTCCTGTCTCTGTTCCACAGCTGGAAAAACACAGACGGGCACACACAAGAGCACTTGCTGCTGTGCATGTGGTACAGCAATACATATACAGATGGTACAGTGAAGTAGAAGAGCAGTGACTTGGTGTGCTTTTGTAGCAATTTCATTTCATTTGATGGGGGAAAATTACAGATGTCTGGACCTCATTGTCGTCAATGGTAGCTTCAGCTTTAAAAGAAATATATTTCTATGTCTGTGGAAAAGTCTTTCATGCTGCCATTCAAAACCTTTTATCATCTGAAACATCACTAAAGAAAAAAACAGACCCACTGCGCTCAATGAAGTCATCAGTTAGGTGTGGATTTAACTTCTATTTAACAATAGTGTGGTGTATTTTGTCTTATCTAAGCAAGAGTTCCTGTATAGATCTTTGCAGTTACGCCAAGAAATGAAGCCGTCTCAGTGACTTTGGGAAAATTATGTGACAGATACAGACCCCCATTACAACTGGCAGCTTGACGTAGTGTATATTTCTCGGGCATTCAGCCAAACCACCTACAGAGATGGTGCTTGGCCGCATTAGTAGCAGCAAAGTGCAAATGTGCTTCATCTTTGCCACCATATAGGCATTCTATAAATGGACATAGGCGGCAGGCTGCTCAGGCATTAAGATACAATCAAAAAAGATTTTCAGATAGACAAGATTAACTCTCAGTTTTAAATATAATAAGAGGTGATTTTTCTTGCTTGACTGCATTAGTAGCAGCAAAATTCAAATGTTCTTCATCTCTGCCACCAATCTCTATATAGGCGTTCTATAAATGGACATAAACTGTTACATGCTGAACCAACAAAAAGCTGAAGCAGCTCAAATAGGCCGCAGGCTGCTCAGGCATTAAGAATATAATAAGAGGTGATATATTAGGTGATTTATTTACACTTTAACGCCAAACATTAATTAAAACCAGCGCTGAGCTACAATGCAAGAAGCTTGTTAACACCAGGTGTAAATAGGGTTGCAGATTTTCCCACCTCACTGAATG